CTTAAGTGAGATAAATAGGACACATGTGTAAATACCGAATAGTTTCTCTAGTGTGAGAAACTGAAAGTGTAAATAAGGATGAAAATGATTAAAATGAATAATTGATAATTTGAAATAGGAAAAGGTCCAAGGGTTTGGGGGTGGCAGGAGGGGAAGGGAAGAAGGGAAAGGAAAAATTATGAGAAAGAAAAAAAATGGAAACAAAGTCTGTGTAAATAGGGAAGGGTGGAGAGGGTGAAGGGTGCATAGGTAATGGGGAAAAAATCAGAACCAAGATACATCCAATGCACCCAATGATAAATGTAAATGTATTGTTTACCGAAAATGTACCAATTAATATATAAATAAATAAATAAATAAATAAGAAATACAAAGCTGAAACCCTGAAAAAAAAAGGCAAGCAAACAGAAAGAGGAAGGGAGGGAGGGAGAAAGAAACAGAGGGAGGGAGGAGGAAAAGAAGGGAGGGAAGGGAGGAATTAGAAAGGAATAAGTAAATCTGGTTTTCTTATTAGTAAATCACACAATTGTGAACATAGAAAAATCTATGGAATGTACGAAAAGCTACTAGAACTCTTAAGTGAGTTTAACAAGTCCACAGAGTACAAAGTTAATGTGAAAAGTTAATAATAGCTGTATTTCTATATACCAGTAATAAACTATTGGAAATTAGAATTAAACACTATTATAATTGTATCAGAAAACATGCATTTCAAAACACTGTTATATTTTAAAAGACAAAATTAATGGATATATGTAATATATTTTTGCACCAAAAGATTCATTAAGATAAACCCCCAAATAAACAGGAGGCATCACAATACCTGACTTCAAGCTATGGTACAAACTAACAGTGATAAAAACCATATGGTACTGGCACAAGAACAGACATGTGGAACAATGGAACAGAACAGAAGATATAGAAACATCCCCAGATATATTTAGCTATTGGATCTTGACAAAGGGGCCAAAACCATACATCTGAGGAAAGATAGCCTATTCAACAAGTGGTGCTGGAAAAACTGAATATCTATTTGCAGAGGATTGAAACGACCCATATCTCTCACTATTGTGCTAAGCTAAAATCAAAATGGATCAAAGATTTAAACATTAAAATAGAAATGCTGAACCTGTTGGAAGATAAAATAGGTAAAACACTTGAAGTCCTAAATATAGAAAAGGATTTTCTTAGTACAGTGAAGAGACAATCTACAGTATGAGAAAATTTTTTGTCAGCTATTCCTCAGACAGAGGACTAATATCTAGAATATACAAAGAACTCAAAAAAATTAAACCACCTAAAATAAAAGGCCCAATCAAGAAATGGGCAAGTGAAATGAACAGACATTTCTCAAAAGAAGTACAAATGGCCAACAGATAGATGAAAAGATGCTCAACATCACTAGCCATTAGAGAAATGCAAATTAAAGCAATGATAACATTACATCTTATATCAGAAAAAATGGTAGTTCTTAAAAAGTAAAAAAATAACAAATCCTGGCATGGATGTGAAAAAGGAACCCATCAACATTGCTGATGGGAATATAAACTAGTATGGAAATCAGTATGGAGATGTCTCAAAGAACTAAAATTAGAAATTCCACATGATCCAGCTATTTCCCTTCTAGGTATTTTCCTGAAAGAGCTAAAGACATCACATTACAGCGATACATGCATACCAGTGTTTATAAAGCACAATTCATCATAGCCAAATCATGGAAGCAGCCTGTATGCCCATCAACAGACAAACAGATAGAGAAAAATGTGTTATCTAAACAGAACAGAACATAACTCAGCTATAAAGAAGGACAAATTTGAGGTATTTCTAAGAAAAATGGATGCAGCTGGAAAACATAATAGTGAATGAAATAATTCAGACACACAACCTTAAATACCACAGTATCACTCATTTAAATATGGCAAAATGTAAACAAGGAGCATAATAAAGAATGGATAGAAGGAAACAAGGGAACAGACCTCTTGCAAATAGGAAAAATCTAGGAGACTGAGGGCAAGGGGAGAGGGGGAGGGAAAGGGAAAGTAAGTAGAATTGGATAAACCATGTACAGGAGAATCCCAATAACCTCCATGAATGTAAACAATACATGTCATGAACATGAGATAAAGTTAATAATATCAACAAGAATGAAAATGGGGAAAGGGGATTTAGAGGAGTAAGGAGGGAGATGGGCAGGAAGGGGAAAAGTATTAAAATATACATATATATATAATATTACTCCCCAAGATGAATGTAAACTTCACATACTACAAACATATACTAATAAAAAAGATATTCTCCAAATACACTTATAGATTTGACCTATATAAATTAGTCTATTATACAAATTCTATATTGCATAATGTATCATATAAATAACATCATTTACAAATTCATTCTATATTTAATCTATATAGATTTAATCCCAATAAAAGTTCTATTATAAAATTAGTTAATTCAAAATGTATATAAAATGCAAAGAACCTATTATAATGAGAACAGTTTGGAAAAAGAACACTGGAGAATACTATCTGATTTCAAGATAAGCTAAACTAATTAAAACTGTGGTACTGACAAAAGATAAAGATATAAATAAATGGCACACAATAGATAATGCTAAATAGAACCATACTTATATGGCCATTTAAACTGAACAAAACTGCCATTGATTCAATGAAGAATTATAGTATTTCAGTAATGATGGTGGATTACCTAGAAGTCATATAGAAAAATAAAAGTCAATCATTCATTGATACCACACAAAAAAAACCAATGTACAATTGATTATAGACCCACACATGAAAGCTAGTATTTTAACACTTCTTAGAGGAAACAAGCAAAAATATTCATGAATGTAGGTGAGGAGACATTTTCTAAAAAGCGGTAGAAAAACCTCAAACTATGAAACAAAAAGTTCAAAAATTGTACTTCATCAAAATGTAAAGCCTCTGCTCTTTAAAAAATACCATTAATAACATGAGAAAACAAGCTCCAACTGAGAGAAAATATTTGCAATATATATATCCATTATGACTTCTACCCAGAATACCAGAATATATACAGAACTCTTCAAATATGATAAGATAACAACACAATTAGGAGCAAAATATTTGAACAGATATTTCACAAAGAAAATATGTTAATGGTCTATAAGAATGTGAAAATATCCTCAATAACACTATTACAAAGGCAAATGAAAATTTAACTCAAGTGAGTTGGAACAGTATCTCCACTAGAATGGCTAAAATTAAACTGGCCAACAATATCAAGCATTGAAAAGGAAACAGAATTCTCATGTATTGCTATGGGAATATAACATGGTACAACCACTTTGGGAAACAGCCAGACATAAAAGAGTACACACTGTGTGATTCTATTTATATAAACCTGGAGAAAACACTAATTTAATTTGTAATGACAGAAGGCAGATACGCGCTTGCCAGAGTGCAAGGACAGAGGGTCATGTTCTGTGAAGAGGTATAAAGGAACTTTTATGCAAGTTGCCTAACTTCATAATAGTGGTGACCAAACATTTATAAATTTCCAAAGCCCATGAAAATATCTACTTATAAGAATGCATTTTATTTTACATAAAAACAGAAAAGATGATTTATAAAAATTATTTTGACTTGAGACATTTCACTTTGAGAAAACTTTGCTTTTTGCTCTTTCAAATACCTTTATTCTGTCACTTAAAGTTTCGATCACATTCAGAAAATTAAAACATCCTTCATTCCCATTCTTAGCAAACTGCATTATATTAAATATTAGTAATAATCAGTATCATTGTACATCCTGTTAATAGCAATTTTGTAAAAAGTTGTCAAGTGAGCTATTAAAATTTTAATGTTTTTAACCACAATAAAAGCCAAAAGGATTTTATTCAGTGCTTCCTATTTGCCAGGCAGTCCAGGCACTCTACCTCCTCTTGAATTCTTACATCTAACCCTGCAAGGCTGACATGACAACTTTTAGCAAGGCTAAGGAGTTTACATGAGCGACAGAAAGATGGGAGTCAAGAACACGCCTTCCATCTGAGTCACTGTTTGCGCTGTAACAGTCACCATTAACTCATCAGTCTGTAACACTTGGAAGCACACAGTCAGTCACATGTTCTTACTTGAACTGGAGTCAGGAACCATGACTGGTCCCAAGAAGAAACTCATTTTACGCAAGTTTTTCCAGATGAATTAAATCAGCTTTTAGTATCAGTTTCTACTGGTTAGTACCAGCATATATGTGTAAAGAATAAAGGGACTTATGGTTTGTAATAAATACCTTCACTATCCAGATCATCACTCTGACCAAACACACTGTCCATAGAAGAATCTGGGATGAAGGTCCAATCATCAAATTTATCAAGTACATTTTCAGAAAAATTCCCACCACCGCCTGAGGCTGCTCCTTCTTCGACAGCACTTTTCATCTGATATCTGAGCACCATTCTTGCTAGCATGGATCCTGTATCTAAACACACAGAAATATACCAGCAATTTTGAAATCCACAACTATACATACATAAATATGCCTTACCAAAATTCCTTATGTTCTCATGCTTCTGGAGAGCTTTTTATTCTTTTTTCCAAAGTCACTTCACAATGTACAATGACACTGAATAATTACTAGGGGGATAAATTAAATCTTTAAAAAATCATTAGCATTTATCTAAAGCTTTGATATAAATGACAAAATTGAATCTCTGTGTTTTAAGTAATTCGATTCAAGAAAGGACTGGGGGCTGGGTGTGGTGGCTCATGTCTATAATCCCAGCACTCTGGGAGGCTGAGGCAAGAGGACTGCAGATTTGAACTCAGCCTGAGCAATTTAGCAAGATCCTGTCTCCCAAAAAAAAGAAAAAAAAAGGAGATAGGGATGTAGCTCAGTGTAAGAGCTCTGGTTTTAATCCCCGGTATCACAAGACAAGGAAGAAGGAGTGGGAGGGGATGGGGAGAGGGGTGGGAAAGAACAACAGGAGGAGAAGGAGGGGAGGGAAAGAAGGGAAGCAGAAGAGAAGAGGAGGAGGAGGAACAGGAAGAAGAACGGACTGCGCCTTGAAGGTAGTCAGCCTGTGCTCAGACCAGAGCGACGCCACTTGCAAGTGACGTGAGCTCTCCCGTATCAATCTCCTCACCTGGAAAGTGACGATGACGATATATTCAGCATAAGGTAACAGAAAATATTAAATGAGATGATGCATGTAAAACAGCACAATGCCTAGAACATAGATGTTAAATAAACGATATAGTTACTTGTATAAACTTTCCTAAGTGATTCATTCCACTGGGAAATTTGATAGAATTTCAAAGTTAAAATTCTTCTTGAAATTCCATTACATTGTAGTGTGGAGAAACAAGCTGGCAGGCTCCTCATTGTTCTAAATAGAGCCTGGAAGTTCTCTTCAAAGATTATCCTCATAGCTCACATCAAATGTTCCATATGTGGTTCAGTCAAGTAGCCCCTGAAAAATATCTTAAACCTACAAATCCAAAATGTTTCTCACTCAGATCAGCCACCAATGGAATTGTGGCCCTACTTTCCAATCAATAAAGTGGCATTATTATATTTTTTAAAATTAGGTAAGACTCCTTAATGTAAGCACTTCATACGAAACAAAGGGAATACAGCGAATGGCAAATCTCTACCTGGGGCCTCTCCATCAGGAGCCATATATTAAAGTAAGCAGCTGGTTGGCAAGCAGCTAGTCAAAGTGATAAAATATGGCACTCAGTCATGCCTCATCAATTTCCAGTGTCCGCAGAGGCAGCCAGGAAATCTATGTGTGGATATTTTGCTGACATAGTGTTTTCATATTCACATCTATATGACTCACATATATATGACAATTGAGTTTTCAGCACCATTAGGATGCTAAATTCATGGTTCTACTCCCTTTTTTTCACTTAAGGCATTTTCTAAGAGATATATTTGAATTCACTACTTGTTTTTTCTCAGTGACTACAAAGCATTCCACTGCATGAATGTACCATGATTTATTTAAATAGTTTCTTCTGGGAAATACTTGGGGTTTTTCCCTAACCTTTTGTTATTATAAACAATGTTCTTCCATGCACCCTGGTATAGGTTCCTTAGGCACATTGAAAATGTCTAATGGATTCCTACTGCTATATTGCTGAATCGAATATCCACGTGTCCCCATTTATATGTACTATTTTCATATATCGGGTTTAAAAATTAAAAAATGTTTTTAAAGTATGCATGTGTACTGAAAACATTAATGAGTATCACTAAATGTCCTCAAAGGAAGATAATTTAAATTGCTAGCAACAATATGTGAAATGTTCATTTCCACGTATTCTTTTCAATATAATTTATCTTTTTATTTTTGTCAATGTTTTAAATGTGTAGTTGGCAGACAGATATTGGAAAGTAGGAAGAAAATGTCCCAATGGGAAGGGGAACAAGGGAGGAGGGAAGGGGAGGGAAGGAAGAGAAAAAAACAAAGAAAATGGAAGGGAAAAAATGGAAGCAAAGCTTGTGTAAATGGGAGGAGGAAGAAGGGTGAAGGGAGGGGAGGGGAATGGAAAACAAAGAAGATATATTATGTACAGGTACAAACTCCCTATGATGAATGTGATCACTATGTATGACAAATACGTACTAATAAAAAATAAAGTTAAAAAATCAAATATGTAATGACTATATATTATGTGCAAAGCAGTAGCATAGATACTAGAGTTACAATGATGGACAAAATTGACATTTACTTCATGATGCTTATAATCTAACAAAAGGTAGATTGTAAAAAGAAACAATATAATAGTATAATATGATCAGTACTAGAATAGTTGAGAAATAAGGTGCTATGACAGCAAGTAGGAGGATTTTTCCGTCAGACTTCCAGGAGGTGGAAATATTTTCTTATAAAGTGAAGGTGCTGAGGCAGGAAGAATGAAGACTGCTAGATAAAGAGATACAGGAGTTAGGTTGAGAGGGGCCTGGAAGTAGGAGTATGTGAAGCATGTAAGAAAATGAAGAGATTTCCACCTGGCTGGTATTTGTAGGCTTCCCTGGAAGGTAAGAGACCTTGATATGGAGAGCGACCAGTATGGATGGAGAGATAATTTTTTCTAGCAGCACTCAGGTATGCAATGAAAATGAGGAAAAAAATTAATCAGATCGGAAAGGACTGGTACATTGCATTTATATCGGATCCATTTTTGCATCAGAAAAACGACAGCAAAGCAAATGTTATTAGCAAGCTAGTCCTTCCAGTGAAGAATCACAGAATAGGATGATTATGACAAAGAAGACGAGTGTAGGAGGAAGTTAACAGGGGGAAGCTAGGAGCTCAAGAGGTAAAACATTTAGTGTAAATGAACAAAGAGAAAGGTCAGTACAAGGTAACTGGTCATCGATATATATAACATATATTTGTTAATTTGAGAGTACGTAGAAAATATATCCTTAATTGAATTCAAAGAACATATTAACAAAAAATGAAAAGTGTAGATGTATGTATTTTGTACATCTTATTAATACATAGATGTACAAAATATTCTTATGGATACTTACTTGTTTGTTTTCTTAAACTAGATGTCTTATCTGGAAATAAAGGACCAAGCCATGAAGGTTCGATTTTTCCTATACAAAATCCTCCAAGACAAACGCTGTTGTTAGCCAGATCCAGGGCAAGCCTCCTCAAGAGTAAGCTGATGATCTGGCTGTCACCTTTCTGGATACTTATGGTCAATGCTTTCCTGACATCTTGCTCATGAGATCCACTATTGAGTAACAGTTCCACCAATTTGGGACTGCTCTCCCTCTCACACACCTATTAAAGGAAAAGAAAACAAGGGTGAATATGAAAAAACTGTAAATTTCATGTTTGGGAGACTGGTAAATTGGACTTGGCATGATTTTTCTATACACATAAAATTTAGGTTGAAACAAGATAAAAAGTTATTCTTGCAATAGATTAGCAAAATAAAATTAGTGACACAAATATCAGAATAATATAAAACGAATAATGTGCCACCTGAAAGTCAGTGATTGTAAAAGAGATGTCATTAGACTTGCTTTTCACACCACCATTTGGTGGTCTTTAGCCATGGATTTTCATGCCCATTAATAAGTCTCCATATTCTTCTCTCCCAAGCACATATTTTACAATATTAAATTCTCAGAATGCCTTGTATGGTTAGCTCAACCTGTTCTCTAAATAGTCTTTAATTTTGCAACCTCTTGGTAAATGAACAAATGGTCTTAATTGCTTTTTCTGCACTGGCACAAAATAAGGTACATTCAATGAATTTATCCAAAGTATTTAAAATATTTATTATTTTCTGCATAGAAATAATCTCTGATAAGTAAGGTAAGTTCCTTTAATGAAATACATAATCCATGAATGTAAATATCTAGGGTTTTTTGTTTTGCTTGTTTTGTTTTTGTGGTGATAGAAATCAAACCCAGGCTTCATCCATATTCCACCAAGATACAACCCAAACCCAAAAATCTGATTGTGCTTTTAAAATGGAAGATGACAAGTACAAGAAGTCCAAGGAATATGAGAAGATGAATAAAATAAAAAGTCTGTGTATAGAAAGATTTGAATAAATTGAGAGAAAAGTAGGCAGCATTTCCTATGGTGAATGTAGTGCAATTGCATTTGAGTGTTTTTGTTATATTGTGTCCCCATATGAGAACTTGGAAAGAGAAGTTTCTTTTTAGTTCTTTGGTTTCTCCAAGTAACATTAATGCAATGATCTGCATACAAAAGATGTACAATTAAAGCATATTAAATTATTGAGTGAAATGACTTAATTAACTTTAATAACAAGCAACTATTTTCAATGTCACTGGCTTAAAATAAATTTGACTAAATTTAAATAATTTGATTATTTTTTGGCTTTAAGGTATAAACATAATAGCACATGCAAATGAGTTTCAAGTTCTATTTTGTTTTATGTTGATTACTAATTACTACTAACTTACTTTTACAGTTGACAAACTGATTGGAATCCAAAGGCAAGTGTGAAATTAAATAAAGTAAGACAAAAAATAAGATGCTCAAAAACATAGTATCCTGCTGATTATTTAATAATATATATTAAATTATTATATAATTGCTTTGCTAGAATTATTAACTTTCTAGAAATAGATATAGTACTACCCACATACTATTACAAAGTCTACAATTTATACAACTAAGAAAAATATGAAATATAGGAAATGCATTTCAGTAAACATTTACTGAATACTGAATACAAAAACAAGTTAGATGATATTCTCAGTAATACAAAGATGTACACTGGTATATTTCCATTTTCATACAACTCACAAAATGTATAGGAGACATACACAAATTACCATGAATTTACAAAAGATGTAACTCTTGCATTTGTTTGAGGGTTTGAAATTGTGAAGAAGTCTTCATTTAGGAAAGAGAATTTGGATTAGATTTGATGCAAGAGGAGAACAACCAGATTTGTCTTTGCACATTTCAGGAAGAAAAAGAGAAAAGGAAAGAAAAATGAGTGTCATACAACCTCAGTAGTAGCCCACAGCAAGGGATGTCTATGTAACAACAACACAAAACAGTGTAGTACAGAGCCTGCACAACTACATACAGCACCCTCTAAGGAGAACATTCTATGCAAAAAGAAAAGATTGAAAAATGATCAAAACTATTTAATTGTGAGTGTGTGAAGGATGGCTGGAGAACAAGTTGTACAAAAAAGCATAGTAAGAGAAATATTTGAAGTTACTTCTCCAATTAATGAAGTAGATAAGTAAAATGAAGAATTAGACTGGACAACACCTGTAGGACTCTATTACCTCTGAAATTCTGTGACTCTAAATTTCTACTACAAATCACAAACAGCTGAACAATAAACTGGTAAATTCTGCAGTAAATAATAATAGAATCATAGAATGTCCTACATCAACATTTCTCTAAAGAAGATACACAAATGGCAAATAGTATAGAAAAATGCTCATCACTAATCATCAGGGAAATGCACATCAAACTGCAATGAGACTCAAATACAAACTGGAAATGGAATCAGAGATATCTGCATTCCCATGTTGAATGCAGCCTTATTCACAATAGCCAAGTGCAAAGGTGAACACGGACTGCCTAGCTGATTGGCTTTGGGATCTGTCTAGGGGATTAGTAAAGCACATTTGTGGGTGTGTCTTGGTGGATCCTAGAGGAATGAGGTGGAGTCTAAATCTGGTCACTCTCCCCTTCCTCTCTGGCATTATTCCCTGGCTCTGCTTCCCAGCTGCCATATACTAAGCACCTTAGCTCCACCATGCCCTTCCACCATGATGTTTCTGTTTTGGAGTTAACCAACCATAAACTGAATCCTCTGAAACCATTAGCCAAATTAAATTTCTCCTCCTTCAAGTTGTGCTGTCATGTATTCTGCCACAGCAATAGGAAAGCTGGCTAATACACTAAGATAAGGAATTAGTCTAGATTCCCATCAACAGATGAATGGGTAAAGAAAACGTGGCATATATTTATAATGGAATATTATTCAGCTATAAAAATACCAAAACTGTTTCATTTAAGATGACATGAATGAACCTGGAGAATGTGTTAAATAAATAAGATAGGCACAGAAAGACAATACATGTTCTCCTTCATTTGTGAAATCTAAAAAAAAATGATCTCATAGAAGTTAGGAGGAGAATAATGGTCACTAGAGGCTCAAGTGGTTAAGAGGAGGGGTGATGGGGAGATGTTGCAGTTGAATAGAAAAAATATTTTATTAAATGTCCAAAACAGGCAAATTCACAGAGACAGAAAGTTGGTAAGTTAAATTGTACAGGGCCAAAGGAAGAGAAGAGGACAGGGGGTGGGGAAGAGAAATGATGAATGACTACTCACGGTTATGGAGTTTCCTTATGGGAAAGAGACAGAAAGAAAGAGAGACACAGACAGACAGAAAGAATTCAGACTTGAGATCCTCCTGTCTCAATTTTCTGTGTAGCTGACATTACAGGTGTATGCCACCACTCCTGGGTGGATTGTGTACTTTAAATATATGAATTGTATGATACAAGAACTACATCTCAAGAAATATGCAGGAGAAAAAGGAGTGAAGAGCTGTACAACTGCAGGACCAAATAATAAAGAAAAGATAAAAGTTTACCTGGCAAATTAAAGCTGTAGTCTCCTTTGCTCGATTGGCATCAGCTCCCAGTAGAAGCAAGCATTCAACCATGATGCTATTGTTCTGATCACATGCTCTCCCCAGCATCACATTTTTTAACTCCTCATCCACAGCTAATTTTGCAAAACACTTGCAACATAGGCTGAGAAACTAGAAAGAATGGAAATGAAGGTTAGAGCCAGCTAAATGCATAAACTTTAGCTTATGGGTTTAAAACAGCATACCTGTTGATCCTTCTGTTCCATGTTACCAGAAGACAACTGATGGAATATTACTGAATCAAAGGAATGGTGCACTAGCAGTTTGGAAAAAGATACTGACAATTCAAGTATTGCCAGGATTGTCTGAAATCCCTGAAAGTAAAGTAAAAAATAATAATAACACAAACAATTATTGGCAACACAGAATAAACAATATACAAGAGAATTTGTATAAGACATTTAATACTTAATATGTTCATTTCACTAAGCACATATATTTTTTGAGTTGTGCTTAGCAACTATGCATCCTGAAACAGACCTATAAATACTCCTTTCTCTCTTGTTACTATGCAATGAATAAAGAAACAGAGAATAAATGCTAGTTTACAAGCCATCTTCAAACTAAGCAGGAAAAAAACATATTCCTAAGATTTGGCTTACAAGATCCCTATCTGAAGCTATATTTACATGCCATGACAGCTAGATATTAACCAGGCTTAAAAATCAGGCCAATAGAGTAATTTGTTTTTATTATAAGATTATAGATTAGGTTCTCTAGGTGGTACATCATTTCCCCAATGTTTGAGTGCTGTATCCTGAAATTTTACCACAGAGATAAATATATACTCCTAGATTTCACTTGTTGAACGCTTTTGAGAGAAGCTGCAAAGGCACTCTGAGCTGTACACTCTTCTATCAAGTTCTTTACAAAAAACAGCAAAAGCATTTAGAGCCAAACATCCCCTAAAGAGCTCTGATCTCTTCAGTCATGTGAGGTTTTTAAAATTAGACTTCTGACTTTGGCATTATTAAATAGCATGGGCAAACTTACCAAACAACAGCTTAACTTAATATATGATTACTTTACTATAACATGAGAGTGAAATTGTCTAAATATTGAAATTACTACTATGCATTATTAAGATGCTTAAGTTTCTACAAATACTAACATTTGGTAAAAAAGATAGTCCTAATTTATGCAAGTGTAAGGAACAGTTGGTCTCTCTGCCTCTAAAGCACAGGGACCAGCAAATTCCAATGCTGCAGAAGAGCTGGTGATATACACATGTGCAGAAGGCACATCACTCAGACTTAAAACTTTTGGGCATTGAGCTGGCCAAATATAATATGGGACGGGCCAGATTTAAGCTCTTGGTTGTCAGTTTATAAATTTACCCTAGGGGTCTCAGTTACTGAAAGCTCCGTATCTGCACAAAATCATTTCCTGTCCTTGGACTGATTTTAATCAATTCTTCCTTGACTTCAATCAGTATAGTGTTAGGCACTTTATTAAAAAGTAGGTTTATAAAATGTATTGTTCCTTTTAATCTAAGAATGCCATGTATTCAGCATTTTATATATCTGTGCAGTTTTCTATTAGCTATCTACTAGATATTTTTATTCCTGAATAATGCTACCATTTAAGAAAAACTTTTGTTTGAGTGTATCTTACCAAAGATGCAAACTCTATTACTAAAATACCACAACCCAGGTAGAAATTCATTTTTTTTAAAAAGCGATGATTTGTTTTGCTAATTTTTAAAAACTAAATCAGTTTCTTTTTTTTAAGAGATGGGGGGAGTCTTGCTACCTTGCCCAGGCTGGACCCAACTCCTGAACTACATGGTCCTCCCACCTCAGCCTCCCAAGGAGCTGGGAGGACAGGCCTGGGCCCTGCATCAACTAACAATGTATTTTTTAACCTCCCTTGAATTAACCTTAGGGTATCATGGATCCTTTATAAAGACAGTTATTATATCTTATGATTTAAATTCTGCTTGATGGAAAATATTTTAAAATATGGTTTCACCTCAAGAAAAAATGAAGCAGCAAAAGACTAGAGGTAAGCAGCCCCCATAAAACACAGAGTGGCAAACTTTGGAATAATTATAATTTGCCTTTATCTGAAATCAAAACAAAAAACCTCAGCTAACTGGAATTGCTTTAGCACATTTTCACTGAAAAGACAAATAGCAAACAAACTGCTGATGTGAGAGGTCTAATAATGAAACTCCAGATCTTTAGAGAATCAATCCAATTCTCTTCTCCTTCTATAATGAAAATACTACAAAATGATAAATGGATTTTAATTAACTAGAATATCCAAGTCCAAAGTGGGAATTACACAAACTACTCTGCACAAGGTCCCAAATCCCCTTGCAGATAATGCACATACTTTAATCTGCACTTCAGCAACATCTTTAAATCGTTGTAAACTGGAAACCAGAATTTTTGCCACCAGATGCCCAGCTCCTATGCATAAATTCTTCTCTGTAATCAAGCATCCTATAAGACTTAAACCCAGACACTGGATTTCTAGAACAATAAGAGAAAAAACAATGAAATCAATTGTTTTAAACTTCAAAAAAGATATGAAAACAACAGCTAGTGGCCCACAAAAATCTACCCTGAACCCCGAATACCAACCTTGGTCATCTGGATACATCTGCAGGGTGTGAAACACGGAATCAATAGCACCTTCCAAGGATAACATCTCTAATGCTTCAGGAAAGTGTGCTATAGAAGAAATTACTTTCAACCCACATTTTTGAATCCCAGGATTTCCAATGAACTAAAAGTCAAAAGAGGTTTAAGAATATTTACTGTTAAAAATAAGAACTTAACACTTATATCAGTTAAAACCAATTATAGATTGATAAAACACATATTGAGTTATTCAAATACAAATCAGTATTTTAAATTTTGTCTTTGATGTTAATAATTACTTTTATGCATCAAGAACTAGCATTTTAACATTCATTGAGTGCTTGTTCTGTGCCAGCCATTGTGCTAAATACATAATTTCTCTTCACAAAATTCTCATGAAATTCATATTGCTATCATTCCAAAGGTATGCATTGGAGAAATCACAGCCTCTTCAATAAACAGTGAGGGGAAAACTGGACATTCACATGGGAACCTTGTAATCTGACTAGTATCTCTCACTCTATACAAAATCAACTCAAAATATATTACTCCTAATACTACATAAGTTTACAGAGAGAGAGGTTTGTGTTGTACATATTGCAAATTGCAGAAATAAAATGAAATCAAGGATGTTTTATCCCAAAGCCTATTACTTTACTAGTAAGGTGCAATGTTGTCTCTCACCACAGAAAATACTAGTAGAACATTTAGTCTAATCCAAGTGCTTACCATGCTTTATTTAATTTATTCCCTTTAAGAGTTTGGCAATAGGTTTGCCAAACTTTAAACATGTGGGCACAAGTGCTCAAGTCACATAAATAATAAGTTTCAGGCCCAACCCTTAGCTATAGATGTGTCTGCCTTAAAAGCCCAGCATCTTAATCACAATATCCTCCATCCTCTTTAATCTGAATTTCCCAGGTGATTTAGCATTATTTATGGGTACTCTAACAGAAGCTACCTCCTCTTCTAGTTCATCTTACTCAATGAGACGAAATCACCAACATACCCATGGACAACTAGTAAAACCTTCACTCTTTTGACATCTGAGATATATATCTAATATATCTCATTCTTTCTGACCATCTCTGCTTTTTCCTACATAATCTCTTCAAACATCTACCATAATGTGAATTCCCACGTTTTAGTTTTCCTCTCAAATATTACAATGATATCCTCCTCCAAATTTTAGCTTTCATCTGATGAGATTGTACCAACACTGGTTCCTTGGTATCTCCACCCCCAAGATCTGACTTTCCCCACCACAGGTACAAGGTAGAACTGAAAGAGCATCAAGCCAGACCTCAAACTCTGGTGTAGCATTTTGGTCAAACTTTCTTCCCTCCAACCTTTCTTACTCTGTACTCAGTGAACAAACTTAACAGCCCTTCCTAGTCTAGTCCTTCAATGCCTCTCAATTGTTGTATTCATCATCTTAAAAAAGGAAAACAGGGAGTATGAAGAAGCATCAGTCTCTCATCTTATGACCTTGTTCTCCACCTCTGTGGAGAACTAATGATCCCTGGACATCATTTCTGCCAGGATTTTAACAAAATACTCTTCCCCTTGTCTCCGTTGGCATTCTTCCTGTCACTGTTTCCATCTTACCATCTTTCCCTGAGTAGTAAAAGTACATCAGCTTGGGCCGGGGATTTAGCTCAGTGGTTTTGCTGCCTGCTGCGCAAGCACAAGGACCCGAGTTCAATCCCCGGTACCAAAAAAAAAAAAAGTACATCAGCTTTGAAGCCATTAGATTTGGGTTTAAATTCTACAAATCTGAGGACCATCCAAAAAAAAGCAAAATAGTATTTACTTTTAAGTGATTGACAGAGTTACTGAATGACTATAAACAAAACCAATATCATACAATGTGAAGTTAGGGTAATGGTTTGGTGTCTAAGATTCTAGTCGCTAAAACATTCCTCGTACAGCACAATTGTTGAGGATGAAATGCAATAACTCCATACTTGCAATTAACCCAGCGATGAACTGAGGCCAGGCCTGGAGTGAAACACTCCATGGAAGTGAAATACCTTAGATTACTGAGAGTTTTCCCTTCATTAGCTTTTTTTTCTACGAAGCTACCACTTTTCCTTCATTTATAAAGTTATTAATAGAAAAGTCTCCACCCACTACCTCCACATTCTTCCTACCTCTTAATTTCATGTAATCAGACTTCTCTTCTAACCACTCTAAATTAAAACCATTCACTGAAAAAAGTCCACTAACAACTTAATTGTTGCTTTCTTCTCCCCTGAGTTCCCTGAGACACCACTTCCCAATTTTCTGTGAACTTTAAAACCATTCATTTGTCCTTCTCCTTTACAATATTTTATTTCAGCTCCAGACTCTGTGCAGAGCTCTTTTCTTAAAATTCTTCTATTCTTGGGTAGGATTTCATACATAAATATGGCTTCAGCACAGCAGTCACACTAAAGAGGCCAAACATAGGTGGCACTTATATGTGTCAGAACCCTCTTTAAGCATTTCATATATACCTACAGTACTTGTTTAGTTCTCAGAAAAACACTATGATGCAGCTACGCTGTAATTATTTCCATAAGTTGATGAAAAAATCAACACCCACTCCAAAAATAAAAGTCAGACTGCCATTCTGAGCTTTCTGTTTTATTCATAGTTTCACGATTCCAGTTTGATAGGCAAGGTCAGCTTCACGGGTTTGTACCTGTGTGGTCACCCATGGCTCCATGCTGAGAAAGCTCTGCTCTTCATTGCTGTCACTATTTTGAAATCCTTTATAATTTTTAAATAAGGGGTCCTATATTTTCATTTTGTACTGAGTTCCACAAATTAAGTAGCCAGCTTTGCTTCTAATCAAAATGTACCTTACACTTATTTTTGTGCTAAAATGTTATCAAATTGATATTTATAAAGCACCTATCATGTTTTTAATATCTTTATTTCCAACCAATTTATACTCAACTCTTGGTCCTTACAACACGAAGTTCCCTCAATCTTTAGCCTTTTCAGATCTAGTTCAATGTGTGATCAGCAATAGGAAATCTATGACTTGTCTATGAACAAAGAGAATTCAGAATTTCACAGATGACAGTGGCTAAACTAGTTGATAGCTGAAAATAGGAGTATTTCATTTTGACAGCGTAGTACATTTTAAAAACCAGATATGTGTGTGTATTTATACACATATATCATATGTGTGTGATATTTATATGCCTACAATAGCCTTTCCTTCACTTATCCACTGATCCACCTTGAAATAGAGATTTTTTGTGGTACTATGCAAGTGAGCATTACAATTAATTTACTCGTTTCTACTTAGTGTTTTTCAAGTGAAACTTTTGGATGTGCCAATGGAAGGGTACCTGTAGACATTAACTGGAAACATGCTTTGCATCACAATTTTCAAGATTTTTTTCCAAACAACTATAAATAATTGAAACAGTTTGTCTAATGAGTCAGCTAGACAGATGAAGGAGAAAACTTCCTTCATAGGCTCCTTCCTCACTGCCAGCTAAGTAGATCAGCCAAGGAGAAAAAAATTCCCTGATCATTTGGGGTTTTGTTTTCTTGTATCCTTTCTTCTTTTTCTCTTACACATCACATCTTTGTTCTTTATAGAAAAAATAACTATATGGATTGGCATCCTACACATATGAGTAGATAACATGCTGCTAATTTGTGGCCCCTGTACTGTTCCATTAAAAGAGCAAGGGAAAAGAGATTCAACATCACATGTCTTACATCAACAAAGAGAGCTAAAATAATGTATAAGAATATATATACATATACATGAAATATTTTCTATATATGAATAGGCAATTCAAGAAAACCTGGATATAGAGTATACATATTATATAGAGAGTACATATTCCATATATATGTATATATATTTCACAAAACCTTTCCAGGAAAAAATGATTGAATGTATAGCTATAATGACACCACATCCCAGGACTATCATTCAGATATATCTTAATAAACTGGCTGGATTTCAAGATAAAGAATCCTTTGGGCAGTCAGGCAAAGTTATTAAGAAAAAAAATGAAATCTGTCTCCATTGTCTGGGTTTCTTCACTAAAATGTTCAATACTAGAACACAGTGAACTGCCTACAAAGTCTTTAAGGAAAGAAAAATCCCAGTATCTTTACAATCAACCAAATTGTTTTCACAAGAGTTCAAATACAAAGGCAACAATAACAGAAAGAAAAAATATTCTAAGCACTAAAATATTCAGGGAATGCAACTTTATAAAAGAAATTCTGAAAACAAAAAGATGAATAAAAGATGAATGGAAAAACTATAACAAAATGACTTGAAGTTAACAATGAATCCATGTAACTGAAAGAATAAAATGAAAACAATTTTAGGAAGTTTAACTATAAAGCTGAATGTAAATGTTGATCAATGTAGAATTTATTTATTTATGTATTTATTTATTTTACAAGTTGTGGGGAAACACACAGAGATAACAGAAATGTGGGTACTCTGACATTCTCATCTTCTATAGCCAGAGGTCAAAAGATACTTTTAGATCTAATATCTTCTGAGTTCATACTATGTACTATACATTGTACTTACATTTTTACATGAAAACATCTCATAAAATCAACTCTGAGTAAAGAATCATTTATTATCTCTGCTTTATACTTAATGAAACTAAGTCATTAAATAATTTGCCCAGGGTGGTAGATTCTGATATAAGGAAGTAGAAATATACTAATTGAATATGAACATGTGAATACTGTGTTAGCATAGAGAAGAAAAATTGATACCTGGGGAATACAATAATACTCATGCAAAATGTGAGATTCTTCCCTAACAGAACATTAGGAATCTCATGCTTTTTAATTTATCTCTATCCAGAGATAGATAATTAGAAAGTAGTATAATTCATTTGGTTAGTCTCTTTGATGGTCATTATAGTATTGGAACACATTAAATTAAACTGCAGTAAAATTCCCAATATTTCATATGCTGTGAAAACAATAAGTTCAATTCTTGCTCAGTCTACACGTGTGTTGCAACTCAGGAAAGGCGTCTGCTCTTTACTGTCTGTGAGGGACTTCTGCTGACAGAGCACCCAATATCTCAACTGTCACAGGTCACAGGGCCTGAGAGAATGCTCTGGAAGATGACTCACCAGCCATTAAATGTTAGCTCCAGAAATGACAAACCTAATCTCTATTTGTAATTTCTTGACCAAAATTAGTCATATAGTCCAAAACACTGAACTATGAAATACTATCATCAAATCATCAAAAGATAGAGAACTAAAAGTATTTTTCAAACAACACTAATGGTTAACAAGTAAACATTTAGTTCATTGCCACATTTTTCTTATTATAAATTAATGACCATTCTTGTCTAAAAATGTGTGTACATGTTCAAGGATATCTGTATTATAAATTCCTAGAATGGAATTTCTGATCAGAAAACATGTCCACTTTAATTTTTAAAATATTATCAAATTTTCCTCTAAAAGGTCTTCCAGTTTAATTTACATCAGTAATGATTATAGTTGAAAACCTTTTAATAAGTGTATATGTCAATTTTATTTTTATCATTACATTTCATCCACTTACAATGTGTTTTGGCAACATTGTAGGTTGTCTCTTAGCTCTGCTGGTGGTTTCTCTTGCAGTGCAGAAGCTTTTTAATAAGATGAGATCCCAGTTGTTGATTCTTTGTGCTAGTTCCCATGCTATTGAGGTTTTGTTCATAAAGTCTTTTCCTATGCCAATATCTTCAAGAGTTCTACCTAATTTATCTTCCAGGAAGTTTGGTGTTTCTGTTTTAATATTTAGATCTTTAATCCACTTCGATCTTAGTTTAGTGCATGGTGATAGGTATGGGTCTAGTTTTAATCTTTGGCAGGTTGAAATCCAGTTTTTCCAACACCATTTATTAAATAGGCTATCTTTCCTCCGGTGAGGGTGGTTGGCTCCTTTGTCAAAGATGAGGTGGCTGAGTATGTCTGGAGTTGTTTCTGCATCTTCTCATCTATTCCACTGATCGGTGCTGTTTTTATCACAGTGGCTTTGTAGTATAGTTTTAAGTTGGGTATTGTGATATCCCCAGCCATGTCCCTGTTGCCTAGAATTGCTTTTGCTATTCTAGGTCTCTTCTGGTTCCAAATGAATTTTTGGATTGTTTTCTCTAGTTCTGTGAAATATACTCACAGCTCATTTCTAATTGTCGTTCTTGTTATTGATTTTGCAAATGTTGCCTTTCTTTGATTATCTATTCTTTACAAATGAAATGTCTTAAATATTTATTCTGGGGATATATTGCTTCAAGATTTTTTTTGTTTGTTGTGTTGGTTTTTTGTTGTTGTTTTGTTTTGTTGTTGGCAGTACTTGGGGATTAAACTCAGGCCCTTTGCACTGAGTTTCATCACCAGGCCCTTATCTTTTTTTTATTATTATTATTAATAATAATTTTTATTTTGAGACAGGGTCTTGCTATATTGCTAGGTTTCCTAGTCTGGGTTTGAACTTGTAGTCCTCCTGTCTCAGCCTTCCAGAGTACTGGAGTTATGGGCATGTAGCACCACGCCTAGTTACTTCAAGGTTTTTGTGAAGCCCACAAGCTCTTTTGACTTGTGACCATTTCATCAGACTGGTTTTATTTTACAAGAACTCTTGAACAAAGAGAACAGTGGTGTCACTTCATACAAAACAGAGGCAGTCAAAATGTCAAGGGTATATTTTCTACACTGTTCTTCAGAAATAAATCTGGACAAAGAGATTTCAATGGAACAAGTGACTAAAAGTTTTCATCTGTGGAAAGCTGAAAGAATCGACACAAGCAGAACATGGATATTCCCAGTGATTTTAGCTTCAGCTTGAATTCTAATTATATATTTTATGTATACAGTATATATTAAATATTTTGTGAATCATAGTTGAACCTCAAGTTTTATCTCATTTAGAATTCTGCTCTCTGAGTTTAGACTAAATTCATATCATTGTGTCTGCAATATTTGTACCTGAAACTTCTGATGCTTTTAGCCATTCATTGTTAGACATACAGTGACAGAATTTCAGAGCTACTTATTCTCATCTTTTAGGATTTTTTTCTCAATTATGATGGAGCGTCAGGGAGATAATACTGGAGAGCTTTCTGAAATAAAATATCACCACTTCTCTTTCTCTATGACCTTAACACTTTACCCCTAAGTAATAGTCACTGTTCAGTGAGATGGTGCATGTCATTACTCAGGTGTTGGTACAGGATAAATAGTTTTCAACCTCCCAGGATACAGCAAGGAATGTAAGAACTAGGGCAGAGTGGCCTTCTCTACGTCTTCACATTCCTAACAGTCAAGTCTGGCAAACTGAAATCAGATCGATTAATAAAGCTTTTTTGACACCTCTTACTTCTCATCAATACTTGCCATGAGTAAAATTAACTGCTTCTTCCTCTATGTTCCTAGAATATGTCCTTGAACCTAGTATAGCTGAGTGCTAGTGTTAGTGATGTGTGTTTTATGCATGGTTCTTAGCCAGATTACGAGTCTCATAACAGGAGTATAAAGCATTCTCACTTTTGCCTTCCCAGTGCTTAACCAGTTCCTTTCAAACACTTACTTCCAATAAATATTTTTTGAATTACACAACCCATTATTACTATATGGTTTTGCTATACTCAAGGTATATATATATATATATTAAGGTTTCCATGCAAGCAGTTTACATATCATAAACAATTACATTAAAAGTTCAAATTGAATTTTAAAGGTGATCTCTCCAAAGGACACTCTAATTAAGTCATGACATTTATTAAAGTATATTAAATCAAAAGGAACCATTTCCATGAATTACTTTAAATATTATCTTCCTTTCATAAAACCATTAATCCTAATTATTCTTTAAATATTTACTCGTATTTTTATAAAGAATTAGTTCATCTTATGTTAAACTTCCAAATTATGTACACAGAGACATAAATGCATTCAAAAATGGGAAGAAACAATGCACAGTTGATGTTTTCAGAGTTTATCTTTGAGTATAGCAATGAAAAGAGCCTAGAGAATCAAGATTTTAATGTTCTGCCTGGTATAATTTTGTGGGCTGCAATGTTTACCATAAGTAAGCAGCCAGAGAGAACAGACACAGTTCCTGATATAACTCTTGAAATTTATCTGCATATCCAGGTCTTTGGTTGTCTTTCAGACTGAGCAAACTCAAGCAGAATTACACTACTAACAATCAAAAGATTATCTATATCTGTAATTGACAGTTTATATCTTTGCTGGATTTACCATATAATATACATCCCTTCACCCCCACATCCCTATTGTCATTTTAAATTCCTACCATCATAGTAAACAGAAAACTTAAACTATAAAACCCCTCTAGTTCCCCAAATTTAATATTCTAATTAACAGGAGAAAAATAGAAAACCTATATTCAACATACCCTGTTTAAAGCTGCTAGAACCAGTTTGTGAATATTATTTTTTAAACACTGTTTCTTAACCATATCCAGTTTACACTGAGATTCGTCTCTGGATTCTTCTGGCATACCTAAATGCAAAAATAAATAAGTAAATAAATATATACATAGGTAAATACTACGGCTCAGATCTAAAATGCCCCCCCAAAGTCTGCTGTGTTCACAGGAGATTGGATCATGGGGCGCTCTGCTCATCAGTGGATTAATCCGCTGATGAGTTCAGAGCTGAATGTGGTGTTGGGAGGTGGCGCCTGCTTGGATCAGGTGGGTCCCTCGGAGTGTGACCCAGAAGGGTGCATTCCTATCCCCAGCTCCTCTACTCTCTCTGTGCTTCCTGGCCACTGAAGAGTGAGAAGTTCTCCTCCTCCAGGATCTTCTACTGTGCTGCTTCTGGCTTGGAGCCAGATGACTTTGGACTGAACCTACAGGAACAATGAGCCAAACTTCAGTTGCATATGTTGGATATTTTGTACCAGCAATGGAAAGTGACCAATACACATATGTACCTACTTTTCTCATCAATATTAAAGCTGAACAAATTGTCACTCTTTTCAAATTATCATAATTTACCTAGCAATACACTAATGTACTGTTTTCTAGTAAGTGGTTCCTAATCAGAGTAATAATACCTAGTTTCAAGAAATCTATAAAAGTATTTCATCATTGAATATAAAAAATACAATGTATATGGATATTTACTGAATTTAAAGTAATGAGAAATTACTGATGGTGGTGGGATTTTTAACAATCTTTTACAGGAGTTGGCTCTGGTTTAAGATTTTAGAACATTTTCATACCACAATAGACAACTTGGGAAAAGGTAAATGTATTTGTATACAACATAAATTGGTTAGATACGAAATAAAGAAATATAGAAAAGCATCTGGAATAATGGTGGAAAAACAAGATTTGAGTTGTAGTATTAAGATGGTGGAGAGTTTGTCAATTATAAGATGTCTAAAGACTGTATAGTGGTATTATTTTTTAAAAATACTACTTATTAACTTACATTGTAGCTGAAAGATCCCACAACTGTGGAAAAATCTGGGAGTCAAAATATTGTTATACAACACCATTTATTGGTAAAATTGTGATGAAAGAATATCTTTCTCAAGTCTAAAACTATAGAATTATTAATAAAGAATTAATCATAATCTTTTATTTTTATACTTTGTATTATTACAAATTATAAACTGGCTGTACGTTGCCTTTCTTTCACTCAAAACAAATATGAGTGCCAACTATATTCCAGGGTTTTTGCTACATTCTGGGGATCCTCAATGACATTAAAATAGCAAGATTAATAAAGGAAAAGAAAAATTACATTCAAAATTTGTTCAAGGACTAAAAGTGCATCATTTTGTTAACTAACAGCCTTAGTTCTGAATGTCTTTTTGTTATTTTTAAAACTCCCACCCACCCTCAAAGGAATCAGAGTGACACCTTTAAGGATAACAAAAGGGAGCTTGTTGTTGCTGTTTTAGTGCAATCTACAAATAAAACCCAAAAACTCAGGATAATATTTTAAATTACATCTTGAATTATGTCTCAAAAGTTAACTGATAATTATGATTCAATTTAAAAATACTGATTGAATACACCGCCCTTTCCTCTTCACCTTGAAAAGTCCTCTCATCCCTTCTGCTAGCCCTCCCTACCCATCCTTCAATCTCAAATATCACACTCTCTGATCTCCTCCCCTGAATAAATGATTTGTACCTCCATAAACATTCTCCTATACACATGTATCTTTAACAGCCCCTCACTGTCTCATAACTAACAGCTGACATGCACTGTTAAGCTCCTGTAGTGCTACGATTCATGCTTTTCTTTCATTCATTTTTCAAGCCGTGACAGCAGCACAGTGTTCAGAACATAAGAGGCACTTTAATAAATTCGTGTTGAAAGAATAAAGGAGTAGGTGTTTTAAATGGGCTTTGGAGGACAAAAAAGGTAACAACAAATGTAAGCAGAAGGTAAAGGGAAGAAGAAGCCACTGAGGTTAATAAGTAAACCCCCATGCTTATATTAGAGAAAAATCAACTCAACCACTGAGTAAAAGAAGGACTGAAATAAAACAAGAAATGAGGTGTGAAAGTTAGGTACTATTTATAGTTCAGAAGGAAAAATATGGCCTGAGCTTGAACTGCTGTCACAACAACAGAAATCGAAGCAAAATATCAGAAGTGAACACTTATCCTAGAGATAAAAGCTCCATACTTTACTGTATGTAGCTATTTCTTACATTGAATACTCTTGTGAAGTTTTGTTATGAACTAATCTCAGTGGCTTTCCCACATTATCATTCAGCCTCTACTTTTGGCTTAGCAGAGTGATTTGCATTTAGTTGGCAGAGACTGGTCCTTTAAGATTTGCTTAGGAAGTTGCTATTTCATGTAAAGTAAAAAGTCCATTAAATCTGCTGTCCCTTCACACAATCTATTTTGTAACTTACCTGGTACTATAAAATGTAAAATGGCTCGCAGGGCCTCCAGCTGCACTGACAATGATGTTTCATGACTTTTCATAACTGTTATTATCTTGGGGATCAACGCTGCCATTGTATCCAGGGAAGTGTTGCTGGAGAGATAAAATCTGCATGTTTATTAAAGATACAATCTAATTCAATCATTTAAACAAAACATTAAAGCAAATGAAGGAAAACAGAAACAACATATTTCACCAGGAAAGTGCATTTGAATTCAGTCATATGAGCATATGAAATTCTAGTTGTTCATGGTTTCAAACTCCACAAGATAAAGTTTGAGGCTAAAGAGCCAAGAATAAGAAAATGAAGGCCTCAGAGCAAAAAGAGCAGGCAGCTGATGAGGGCACTGCCTTGTTCCTTGAAGGAAACGAATTGAACCAAATCGCTTCTCACAGAGCATTAACGGTAACCCACGACAACGTTGTCACCGTGTCCCCGTACACTCTCACACAGGTCGCAGGGCCCTATAACCGCTGGGTCTGAAGGCTTCTGTCTCCTTCTCAATGCCTTTGCTAGTGCGGTGTATTTTTTCAAGGTGCTGTTAAAAGAAAGTCATATTGGCGTTTAATAAATCACCTCACCCATTTCAAGTCCAAGGTTAAAAAAAAAAATTTCTTGAAAGGGGTGGGCACTTAACTGTGACTATATTTTGACAATTGGTAGAAGGTGCACATTTTAAGCAAAAATAAGTTTTACAGTTTTAAATACACAAAGAAATGTTTTGGTTAGGTGTTACCCTTGATAGAATCACTCAGTTTGGTGCTTTAAATTAAGTCTGTTTACTATGAAACAAGAGTCATTTTTAGAGGAATTTAACAGGTTCATGTTCTAAGATGTAAAATCAAGATACACAGTGTTAACTCTACACAGCTCCTAGTGCTTAAATACAATGACACAGTTAAAAATAAGCTGAATTATTATTTCATGGTGCCACTGTTCCAACATCTTCCAATCATTGCTAGAAAATTGGCATATTCCTTTGAACCTTTGAAATAAACCAATGAAATGCTTTCTCTTAAAAAAATTTTAATTGTTATTTAATTAAACAACCTCAAGAAACAGAATTCATAGTAACCTGAGAATTCTTTTACTTAGTTATCATAAAAATAATGTTTCTTTTTATCTACATGTAGGTTATTGTCAACAACCCCAAAAGATAGATATTATTATCCCTATTTTCCATTTAGGTGGTCAAAGGATAAAAAGCAAAGTCCTTTAACTGGAAGATGACAGTCACGGCCAGTAACCAAACTTTTCTGACCCCAAGACAAGTGTCCCTTATCTCATACCCCAGACTTACATGACACTTTTTGTGTGGTATTCTTAATTCGTTTTAGCCTCCATTAAGATGATCAAATTTCACTTGTCAGGATTCTAATAGCTACTATAAAGTTATCAAAGACAGTCTTTGCTTTGCACTGTGCCCTGTTAATTGAAACTTGTGCCTATCAGAGCTGTGTCCTTGCCTGGCACAGTTGCCCAGTCGTTGCAATATAGCATTCCTTCTTTTCCACCTTAAAGCCCAGGTTGCACACTCCCTTTCTTTGGAGCCTGCCCTCCTTTGGCAATGTCAGCTGGGTTCACCATGCTCTTCCCACTGTGACTTTTACACAACACAGCCTTTCCAGTATCACACAGAATACAATTATCTGTTTACTCATCAATCTCCTCAATTAAACAGTGAGTATTTGGAGGGACACCTCATTGTTAGTTAACTGTCAATCTCCAAGATCAGAACTATAGACATTTAACATTCAAGAGAAAACCACCAGACACATTAAATGGCTTGCCCAGAACCCACAGAATCCTAAGCCATAGTGTATTTGATCCTTCATAAGATTTTTGCATCATTTATGAAGGGACATGCAATTCCAGCACCATAAAAAAATCAACATTTAAGACAAATATTTCACTGAAATGTTTAAACACAGCATTTAACTGGGGATTTAGCTCAGTGGTTCCGGTGCCTGCCTAACAAGCACAAGGTCCCAAGTTCGATTCCCAGTACCAAAAAAATAAATAAATAAATGCAACATTTAAACAGAATAAATAGAGCTTAGAGATATGCATTATATAAACTTAAACCAATTAGCTGGACTGATAGTAAAAACACTATAACTGCTCTCTTTTCAGGCCTGAGGACATGCTACACACAATTTATCATGTTATTTGTACTTAATTCACTTGCACTTAATAGCAGTAGTAGTAGTTAAAACATACCAGGCATTATGCCAATCCTTTCATAAAATTAATGTATTTAATCCTTATATCATAAACGTGAAATTTATGAGGTTTTTATTATGATCTCTTTTTGCAGATGAGGAACCTGAAGTTTAGCAATCAAATACTTGGTTCAAATTAATGGCAAGGCCAAGACACAAAACCAGTTTTCATTGCAACATCTGTACCAATCATTCCTGTATTTCTTTGTTACCCATGGCAGTTTCCCATAAACCTCTTTTTATTTGATATTTACTCAGACAATGCCAAAGTTACTTTATTGTTTTTTTTATTAATAGACTGCAAAAAGGTATTTAGTATATCTTATAGGGTGCATCTGCTGGACTGATTCAGTTTGGGTGCTTTAAACAGGTTTTTTAAAGCTAGTAGTCCTGCCCTACCACCTTCCATCACAGGTGAAAAGATCTGATCACTGTTGTGCTGCTAAACAGACACACAGTCTTAACAATGCTGGACTTGAACCAGGTGTGAAGAAAAGCTCCCATAGCCAAGGGGTGAGCGCAACAAATGAAGATAAAGTTAATTCAAATGAAGGAATAATAATAAATAATGTGCTCAATATAAAAAAGCAATAGTTACAAACTGCATGCTAATTTTGAAATTTCATGTCTTTCACACACAATAATTTTAAAAACTTGTCACTTATGCTGCATAATTATCATTTTTGAAACGTGATCAACATCACACATAAAGCACAAAAACAAACCTTCACCACATTTCTAGTCTCTACAATTAATGTCGAGACACAGTAAGTCTATAATGTCAGTGATGTGAGATTACACTGCAAAAATTTCACTCTTCAAATGCTTTGTGTTTTTCTTTTCATTCTTAGAGATGTGCTTGAAATAATAATAGTCCACCTGATTACTATATATTCCTCATGAATTTCCATGCCTATATTACCTTCCTTCAAAGAGATGATTTAGCATTTGACAGCCACTTTCAGCCACTTCTGGAGAATGGATATGCCTCTGCATTAACTCCAAAACATTCAGGTATATTCCTTTGGACAGCAGGATTTTTCTGAAATTAACTGTAAGATATTTTTTGAGGTTACCACAGAGATGAAAGCACATTTTGATAATTTTGCAATAAGACGTAGAATAGTAACACAGTCTAACATCTTAGGAAAGCAGATGCAAGAATATATATAATTCTTTGGCAATTTAAAGGTTATTAATGTCTATTTCTTTAAAAACACATATCATTCTCTATATTTTCACATTTGTAAATTCTTTTTGTATTTTGTTTGTTTGTTTGTTTTTTGGTACAGAGGATTGAGCTTAGGACCTTGGGCTTGCGAGGCAGGCACAGTGTCACTGAGCTAAATCCATGGCCCACATTTGCAAATTCTTTTTTGAGGTTTATGTTTAGGTTGTTTTGTGCTACTTTGTCCATTTACCACAGTGGAATGTATAAACATGCCATTTCTATATATGCCATTATGCGCAAAAGGACAGAGAGCATCACTGTGAAGCAAAAATAGTTTCATTTACTGACACAAGGTAATGGCAAAGCTCAAGTAGACACATAAACATGTTTGACAACTGAGTGTACATTATGTGTAGAAAAACAACTATATTCTAGAATAAGCATTGCATACTAATTTTCCTTTTGTAAAAAAAACATTTTACTAAATACAATCTACTGCTTTGAAGTTTTCATATATGTACCAATTGTCCTGAAGTCTTTATATAAATATAAATTTCAATATTATATATTGTAATTCAATACTCTGAAGGTGTCAGAGAAGGAAAATTGAAGTTTCAATCACAGTGCTCTTTTTTAAAAAAAAAAAAAAAAAAAAAGAATAAAGGCCAGGTATTTAGCTCAGTGGTTCTGCCACCTGCCTTACAAGTGCAAGAAACCGAGTTTGATTCCTGGTACCAAAAAAAAAAAAAAAAAAGAATGGTCAATATCAAGAAGAAAAAACAGAACAAAATACAGAAATAAATAGAAGTGATCTAAACATTCTAAAATATTGCCAAACCTCAAAAGTAATACCTTTTTAAAACAACTACAATGTCACACATTAAGATATAAGGAGTTGGTTATTTCATTTGATCACATCAGAAGTTGTTGCAACTCTCCCAAAGTGACGAGATTCTAACCAAGGAGATTTTTTAAAAGATAAACATTATTGTAGACCAGTGGTTCTTAAACTTCAGTGTGCATCACATTTGCTTGGAATGCTTGTTACAACACAGGTTATTGGATACCAACTCCAATGTTTATCATTCCTTAGATTTGTATGGGGCTCCAGAATTTACATTTTTAAGTAAGTTCCCAGGAAGTGCTACTTACTGATCCAGGGACCACACTTTAAAATCCGCTGTTCTAAAGAATAACCCAATGTGTGACTTGTATTGCAAATACTCCGCTAGGGAGAAAAATGCGTCATGAAATCAATTTAGCCTTTACAAGACATTTTACACATTTACCAGCTACCTAAATAATACCAGAAAAAGCAGAGAACTGATTTTGAAGATATACATCAAGATTAATTCTGAGCATCACTAATGCTCAGACACCATAATAAGCAGTCCAAATCTCACAAAATCTCAGTTGTTTTGTTTGCATATCAAAAGAGATTTCTAGTTGCTAAGAATTATAGAACCAACAAGTCAAGCCGGGCATAGCACAACTGAAATCCTAGCACTTAGGAGGGTGAGGCAGTAGGATTGCCACTAGTTCGAGGCCAGCCTGGACTACACAGTAAGTCCAAGGTCAGCCTGACCTATGAGACCCTGTCTCAAAATACTAAAAAACAAAACAAAACCAAAAAATCAACACACCATTGTTCATACATAAAAACCATTGTCTCCACTTTAAGAACCCACATACAGAAGCAGCAAGGTGCAGGCTTCATTTTCTGGAATGAAATACCTGTCCAGCCCTCTTTAACTGCACAGTAGAATACTGGAGATACAAGAATAGCAATTCCCTTTGGTACCCCTCCTACTCGGATTCATTACCCTGAAGGCAAGCCCCATCTGACTTTCAGGACCCTTGTCACTTTAATAAACTACCATCAGAGAGATGGGGCGAGAAAGAAGGAAAAGGAAGAAGGACAATTTTCCTCTTGATTTGACCTAAACAACAGTCTGAAGAAACATGCACGAGATGTTTTCTTTCCCTCCACACAGCTTCTCCACTAAAAGTTGGCACTTACACTGCTCTCAATATCAGATTCATTTTTAGTGTTTTTTCCTATTTTTCTCCCTCTAGAAATATCCTGCAAAAGCTGGCAAGTTCCCATGCTTTTATGATGAGTTTTCTCCCAATATTTTCTGGCAGTATTTCCTGTTTACGGGGTAGGAATATGTGCAGACTAGCCATGGTCTTAAACCGCAAGTGTCTTTCCAAACATATATGACCCATTTTTCTTTTTAATCATGCTTCACTGTAACACTTATAAGAGTTACATGTAAAGTATTGTTTTCAAGAAAAATTACAGCATAAAAGTGTCATACTGAATAGATTTACCAGATTTTAAAATGGTGACTTATCTCTCCATCCAGTTGCATTCGTATAAAGTTTTGTTAAGAAAATAACAGGGAAAAAAAAGCAATCCTTTATTGTTTATTATCCAAAAAAATTCCACTAGACATAAGCTAAAAGTCAATAAAGTCAATAAAGTCAATAAAGAGATTTCCATAAAACAGGCTACAGGCATACATAGGAAAACTGCACATTTATTAAAAATGATAATGTGGCTCTTGTTGCCTTTGCTACTGTGTGGGCACCATGTTTCTCCTCTGAGGTGTGCTTTTTTCATCCCTTCCTTGAAGCCACCGAGGATGGACTGAAACCTCCACAAATTAAATTGAGAGCACAGAGGAGGAGGCTTCCAGGTTGACATGCCACCACTCCCAGTACAGAGAAGGAGGCTTCTGGGTTGACATACCACTGCTCCCAGTACATAAGAGGAGACTTCCAAGCCAATGTACCACTGCTCCCTGAACAAAGGAGGTGAGCCACGCCAATGCAAGCTGCATGCCCCGCCCCGAAATAAGAAGACAAGTAAACAAGCCTCAAAACCAGACTTCTAGATCACCTATAGCAACCCCAAATGCAAACAAGATGGAACACTCTGATACTCAACCACCTAGACTCCAAAAACTGGCAAGAAAAGAGGATCTGTAAAAAATGAAATCAGAAATAATTTCTCAAGTAACATCAGAGATTGTGCAAGACTTATTTATTTATTTATTTAACATGATTAATAATTCTAGAGAGGAGCTGAGGAACATGATAGAATCCCAACACAGGAAACAAATGGAATCCATTAAACAAATGTAAACAGATTTCCAGGAGATTAAAAACTTCATTGAAAGTCTATGCAGCAGAATGAGCCAATGTGAGGACAGAATTTCAGATATAGAAGATAAGATTGCAATTCATGACCAGGAAAAGAAAAATTGCTTTAAAATTGTAAGGGACCATGAGAAATCAATCCAGCAGCTGCTAGACGATGCAAAGAAGAATAATATAAGATTGATCAGAGTCAATGAAGAAACAGGAGTGCAGACAACATAAAAAAACTGTCCACAGAAGCGATGGCAGAAAACTTCCTAAGCAGGGGAAAAGAACTTGACATACAGATAAGTGAGGCACATAGAACTCCAACTTGCCTTGATCAAAAAAAAAAAATTATACATAGGCATATAATTGTTAAGATTCCAGAAACCCAACAGAAGGACAAGGTTCTACAAGCAGTTACAGAAAAGAAACAAATCACATACAAAGGAAAGCCCATCAGAATCACAGCAGACTTCTCAA